CCCCTGCCTCGGTCACCCAGATGAAAAAAAAAGCTTCATACATTCTTTGGCGTCCTGACACGAGCCTTAATAATTGGATGACGACCCAGACAGCTCACACCGAAACACCTCTATTAAAATGCCACACTATCTTTCCTTTTCCCGCCTCCCTCCTCCCCCCCCGCAGCACACACTTTCCTTCCCCTCCCAGCTCTTCAATTTTGGCGATATGCCGAGGCAGAGAGACAAGGCTACTTCTTTCGAAACTGCATTCCGACGATACGCTTCGAATCAAGAGGGAGTTGCCCACCTTACCAAAAAACGACAGTCCGCGACTGCTTCCAACGCAGTTTCTTCCACATAGGTGGTTTTGTTGTTTTGTTGTGGTTGGTTTTTTTAAAAAATTTCCCTGAAGGCAGCCCAACAAAACTCTTTGAACTTTTATCTTCGCCCCACTTCCTGGGAAGGAAGAAAAGAGGGGCGGGGCTGACGGTTCGGATTCAGACGACAGCGGCAAAGGCTGGCCCGAGTTGCTGAGCGCGGACGCCCCACACAAGCCTCGACTCGGCCAAAGCCCTCCTTCCTCCCGCAAGCCGGGGCCAAGATCCATGTGCCGCCCAGAGAAAAAGGGCGTGTTGGCAACGTGCTACTCTGAAACGGTGTCACATGCCCTCTCTGCCCTCCCCATCCCGTCACAACCTGTTCGACCAGTGCGGGGCTTCACCTCCCAGTTCACAGAAAGGGAAGGGAAGTGCCGCCTGCTTTAGGCTCTCTCAGTCGCCGGGTGAGCTTCCCCCCCCCCCCCCCCGCAATCCCCACGACAAAGAACACCGCAGTTCAGCCTTCTGACCTGAGCAGAATAAAGAGCAAGCGGGAAAAAACAAACTCCACTAAAGTTGACACGTGAAGGGAAATAAACGTCATCGACAGCTGACGGGCTGGCATGTAGCTGCAGGGTGTATCCTAAGCCCTCCAACCCGGACTTGTATGTGTGTTTTCTTTTAAAGTGGATTTTCCAACTGAACAACTGCACTGTCGGAAGCCTCATCCCCCCCACCCCCACCCCAAAAGCCAAATGCAAATCTTCTGGCTGAGTTGGTTGTTTTAGTGTCTGTTGCATTTCTTTCCACAAGACTGTCAGTACTAATGAGGACGTAGAAGAGACGAATCCATCTGAAAAGATTTAGGTTCATATGGTTTGGTCAGTTTGATTTTAAGTAGAAAACCAACCCTATAAAGAGTTTCCTAACCTTTATATAAATTGTGCTGCTGGCTGCTGTTCAAGTGCTTAATGCACAAATATGCATAATCATTCTAATGTTGTCTCTGTCTGTCCAACTGTACCTTCTGCATCAAACTGCGCACTTTAAAAAAACAGCATTGCCCCAAGATAACAGGGATTTCTGAGGATAAAAAATAACTATTTCAGGTAACAATACGAAAGCCAGTAAGTACTGTATCCTGTTGCTAGTCTCAGCCACTGAATCAACTGCTGAAAACTCAGCACTTTATTTAAATTCAGTTGAATGGTCTGTTAGATGGTGACAGCAGCCACGAAATTAAAAGACGCCTGCTTCTGGGGAGGAAAGTGATGACAAACCTTGACAGCATCTTAAAAAGCAGAGACATCACCTTGCCAACAAGTCTGCATAGTCAAAGCTATGGTTTTTCCTGTAGTGATGTATGGAAGTGAGAGCTGGACCATAAAGAAAGCTGACCACCGAAGAATTGATGCTTTTGGAGGAGGCTCTTGGGAGTCCCCTGGACTGCAAGGAGAACAAACCTATCCATTCTGAAGGAAATCAACCCTGAGCGCTCACTGGAAGGACAGATCCTGAAGCTGAGGCTCCAATACTTTGGCCATCTTATGACAAGAGAAGACTCCCTGGAAAAGACCTTGATGTTGGGAAAGTGTGAAGGCAGGAGGAGAAGGGGACGACAGAGGATGAGATGGATGGACAGTGTCATTGAAGCTACCAACATGAATTTGACTCAACCCCAGGAAGCAGTGGAAGACAGGAGGGCCTGGCGTGCTCTGGTCCATGGGGTCACCAAGACTTGGATATGACTAAACGACTAAACAACAACAACACATTAAGACTAGCAATAGGACACTGATCCAAGACAGCTCCTATAATTGAGGAACTGAGAGAAAGGCCTCCCCTGATGATCTTAATGCTCAGGCAGGCATGTTCTCTTATACATAGGAACAATCGACTAAAACCTAATCCATTAAAAGCTCAGGTTATGTTTTTCAATTTGGAAATAGAGAAGTCGCAAGGAAATTATAAGTAGCCTGGTGGGGGGAGGGGTGTTCAGCTAGAGCAGCGGTTCCCGATCTTGAGTCTCCATGTATTTTTTGAACTACAGCTCCCAGAAATCCTGGCCAGTATAGCTAGTGATGAAAGCTCCTGGGAGTTTTAGTCTGGGGACTCAAGTTTGGGAACCACTGGGCTAGAGCCTTGTTACTGTCCAACATATTTAGGTGTTGCTTTGGGCCAGACATTGACCTATAAAAAGCATTGCTTAAATATCAAGCATAAAGTCACTGCCAGGAATAGCCAGCCTCCTAAGAAAACTTTCTGGAACTGACTGTGGGACTCACCTTTAAATTTTATGAACATTAGCTCTCTCCCTGTGCTTTTCTGCTGCTGAATATGCTTCTCCTGTGTGGTATAAATCTACACGTGCTGACCATGCAGATACGTACAGCTCTGAATAAGACATCCGAGACTTATTACTGGGTGTATGAAACCAACCTCCATATATAAAGCACACTATCCACCAGAAATACAAAAGGAAGTGGCCGCAAATAAAAGAAGTATGGTAGCATAAAATGCAGTTCATCCTTCATATGATCACCCTGCTCCAAGGAGAAGACTGAAATCTACAAAGAGCTTCTTAAACACTGCTACTACACCACTAAACTACTAACAGTTCAACCAGACCAGGTCAATGGAGAGCTAGAACTACCTAGTTAGTAGAACAGATGGAACCCGTTGAGCAGTGAAATGTAGGATGGAACATGTGGAAGTCTCTGAAGAGATTACAAACGTGGTGTTCCCTACAAACTGAAAGCGGTCTGAGAAATGAAATGAAATCTAAGGACAATTTTGACTAGAGGAATGGTGATATCTATCTGCTGGACTAACAATACGTGAATGTGTGGGGGAGACACACCACATGAGACTTATATCAATGCCCATTATGTCCTACAATGTCATCTAAGGACAATTTTGACTAGAGGAATGGGGATATCTATCTGCTGGACTAACAATATGTGAATGTGGGGTGGGGGGACACACCACATGAGATTTATATCAATGGCCATTATGTCCTACAATGTTCACAGAAGCTCTTGTCCAGGGAGGAGATAATGTGATTGATAAAGCTTGATTTTGGTGGGAAATTGTTAAATGTTTATCTTTTTAATGCATTGTTAATCATATATTTCTGTATTTTATATGTATGTTTTTCTTAATGGGACGAATCCTATTGTACAAGTTAATGCCACACAACTGCTCTGATGTCATCAGCTGCAGCCATTTGTGGGGTGGTGGTGGTTAAAGTTTTCTATTCTCCCCCACCCACAGGTTCCACAGATCCTTAGGGATCCCTTTTCTTTTGGGGAAGCCTTTGGCAGCAAAACAATGACAGATGAAATGCTTTAATGCCTAAAAATTACTGCCACTGGTTTTCAGGCATTAAAGAGCTCTCTGCGCTTTTCCCATCACTTTGGCTGGAGCAAAGCAATAGGTTTTTTCCCCCTACAAACTGAAAGTGGTCTGAAAAATGAAATGCTATTTATTGTATATAATATTTCATTTTTGGTAAATAGTTTCTTTTCAGGATATTGTGCTGCTTCAAAAATTTGCAAAGCCTGCTTGATAGAAAGTGCTAGTGGATGAAAGGGGATGGGGAAATAATCAAGGATCTCTGAACTGACTTTTAACTTCCTTAAAATCTATTTGATCCTACATGTTAGATCCTAAGAAGAGTTTCAGAACCTTACTTTCTGTGTGGCAGGCTACCAAATTTCATTTGTTCCTGCAGGATTTTTGTTTTTGTTTTTTTTGTTTTGGTCACAAATTTCATATTTTCAGAATGGTACAATGGATGATAAAGGGGTGAAGTCTTTGCAACATGGACAAAACTGTTGAGAACAGGCCCATACCAGTGGTGACAGGTAGAGGGAGATACCTCATTGGGTGGAGGCCATAACAGGAGAGCACAGCCCAGATGTATAATATCTGCCCTGTGCTCTAGTCCTCTTCTCAGACAGCATAATCAAAGTGACCCTATCAGCCAACCTTATGGTCTGCACACATTGCTATTAAATGCCAGATCGGTCCAAAATAAATCTGAACTGATATTAGAGCTGATAGAAAATGAAAACACTGACCTACCATGTATAACTGAAACCTGGGTGGGAGAGGAAATAGGAATATCCCTTTCCCAGTTATGACCTCCAAGATATTCGATCCATTATCATGGCAGGTCCATGGGGCATGCAGGGAACATTGCTATGGTCCATAGAAACTTTATTTACATTAGCAGGATCTTTGTCTTGTCATGGCTGGTTCCAGAGTGTCTTCACTTCATGCTGGACCGCTGGGACAGAAAGGGATTAGTGTGGGTGTACTGCTTGCCCCACAATGAAACATACTCCCTATAAAACCTAACAGAATACATCTGTACTGCGGTGTTGAGGTTCCCCTGACTTTTATTCCTGGGTGGAGCAGCTCTGGTGCTCATGGAAGCCATGGATCTGTCGCAACATGCCATAAGGCCCACATTTGTTGCAAATGGTCTGGTGTTCACATCAGGACAGGAAAAGGGTAGTCTGAAGTAGTGAACCTTGAGTCCTATTCCCTGTCATGGTCAGACCATATCCTGCCAAGATTTAGACTTTACATAACTGAATCCCTCTGCAGGGAGGAAGGAATATTACAATGGTGCACTCCCAAAGAGTGATGAATCTGACAAGTTTCTAAAATGCCCTACGGGATTTTCTGGCTGATTCAGTTGACACTCCTGTTGATTCTCTGGTGATATATGGGTATTAAGAGATGACACCATCACCCCTAGACACCTTCTTTGATCCAGAGCTCAGCCTTTTCCATGGTTTACAGAGTTAAGGGCAATGAAGCAATTACCAAGAAGGCTAGACAGCAGATAGAGGAAAGGTCCCGTGGATTCAACCTGGAGGCTGTTAGGAAAGCATCTGGAAGATATCAGAATACACTGAAGTCCATCAAAAGAAGCCACAATACCCAACTAATTTAGGTGGCTTCCAATCATCAGGCTCTTCTGTTTAGTTCATGGTCTGATTTCTTCTGGACAAATATAATTTCTCCATCCAAATGTTGAGAATTGCAAGTGACTAGCAGCCCACTTTAGATCTACGGTTGAAAGCATCCATCTGGGCGTTGACTCCTTGTTGATATCAGTAAATCTGATAGAGGTGTCCAAGGCACTGCTTAGTGAGGTTAAACTGGATCACTTTCAGCTAGTATGGCCTGAGGATATGGTCCCATTGCGCAGTGGTTGAATGGTAGTACTGCAGTGAAGACCCTACTTATGACCTGAGTTTGCTCTCAGGCTCAGGTAGCTGGTTCCAGATTGACTCAACCTTCCATCCTTCTGAGGTTGGTAAATTGAGTACCCAGCTCACTGTTTGGTGGAACATCTGTCCCATGAAATAGCTACCCATCCCACACACTCCTTCAGTACTTAATGTTACGGGCTTTAGGAACAAGC